TAGACAATACTGTAAAAATCACAATGTGGACACAATATGTTCTCTGTTCCACCTCAGTGTGGCCTCCACAGAATCAAGGAATTTCTCCGTCCTATGTATTGCTGTGTTTCTCGATGCCTACTACACCATCCGGGATGCAATAGACAATGACTTGTTGAGAGGGAGGGGCTTTTGTCACAGTGAAGAAGTGGGTACTCAGAAATATCCTGGCACTCAGCATTTGCTCCTCTGTATTCTGTAGCTTCTTCTGCAGTTCTGTGGTGCTGTATTATTTGTTCTGGACATTAGCTGTGAATGGAAATGACATGTGTCCCTTCTAGGGCAGTTACAAGCTTTGAGCTTTCTCTTTCTTCTCTTCCTTCCCTGAAGCAGCTTTGGAAACCATGTCTTGGTTCACAACACAGGAGAACCCTGGACCTCTGAGCACTGGAGGCATCCCTTTGCCCCCCGGATCTACATCAGATTTTAAAGTTTTGTTGGGCAACTCACTGAGATTTCAGGGTGTATCTGTTATTGCAGTATAGCCTAGACTACCCTGATTAGTAAATATTGAGTAATTCATACAGACGTTTATTGAGTACTCCAGAGTATTAGTAGCAGGGGCAAGAGTAAATTTAGAACCTGGCAAAAAAGATAAAAGCTACAGAAGCAAATTCTAAGGGAATGTGATATTCAAGAGACATTGTCAACCCTTTTCTGTCTTAGGTTTTATGAAAGTCTTAGGATTTCAGTAGCTATTTGTACAATGGAACAGATGTGCTTGGCAATTTGAGACTGCTGTATGCTTAGAGAAAACTCAAAAATGGTAACAACTCCTTACATCGTTATTTACTTTATATTTTGCAAAGGCTGGCAATGGCATAATCTCATTTGATTCTTCTCCAGAAGCCTGTGAGGACGACAGGTTAGGTATTATTGTTCCCATTTTACCATGGTGGAAAATAAGCTTAGGCAGGTGAGGGCCAGAGAGCTCCTTCGTGACAGAATCCAGTCTTAAGCCAAGGTCTTCAGGTTTGAAGCCAATGCTTTATATACCCAGTTGCCTCCCAGTAGACAGTCTGATGTTGAACCTCCCATGATGCAAAAATACAAGTGCAGAAACTGAGATGTAGGTGAAGGGGAAAGGAATGAGGTAGCCTGAAGAACTTGGGTAAATAGTTTTGACATAAAGAGTTAGAATGTTAATTCTTATTCAGTGAGTGATAGAAGCCATATGGACCTTAAATGAGTGTCTTCATACTTAATTTATCTCTGCTCTGCCACCTAACCCCATGGCAATTCCTAAGATGTGAGTAAGGAAGAAAGACTAGATATGGACTTTTAAATCTAGAAAACCAGACCCAAGGAGAAGAATAAAGAATGGATAGAAAGGGTCATGGTTGTAAACATGGTCCTGGCCATCCCTTGTGACTGTTTCTGGAAATTTTTGGAAATTTGCCTCTCTCTGAAATAGCTCTCAATGGCATATATACCAGGATGGCAACTCCAGCTCATTTTACCATGAAATAGTACCTATTAGGCTCAGTGGCAGATAGCCAAACACATCTTGTTGCCCCAACTAAAGAGTCTCACTATATATGTAGAGGTTTTAGAGACACAGAAAGTCCTTGGCACTTGATTAGGAAAGTTCTCATCCAAGAGAGAGGCCATGCATCTCTCCAAGGTCCTTGAATCTCGTTTCTACTGCCCAAACAAATGTTGAAGGATGCTCAGGTTCATCCACAATATATAAGCCATGAAGTGAAATGACTTTAACCTTTTAAGAATCAATCTCAGAATTAATTTTGCATCCAAACCCTACTTTTATCTCTATGCAGAGTCTATTTCTGTAACTTTGCTTATAATCTCTCTAGAAGTTTCCTCTTGCCTATAGCACCTAATGTCTCTCAATTCTTCAAACCCTAATTCAAGTATCTTGTCTTTTCTCCTGGGAGGCTTCCCCTGACCATCCCTACCCACTCTAGACCAAATGTCTATTTATTCAATTTATATCTGTTGAGTGCTTGCTTTGTTGGGCCAACTGTGCTAGGCATTGGGAATACAATGGTTAAGTTGGACAGCTTAGATCCATGGGGTAGCTTCCAGTGTAACAGAGCAGAATATTTGCTTTCTGCTCTCTGCTTCTACAAGAAATTCCAGTAATCATACATCGGCTCTTATAATACACTGCTGACATGAATGCTTGGCTACCATTGCAATAGGTAAGCTCTTTGATGTCAGGGACCACTCATGCCTTGTACATTTCTGATTCCTGCAGTGCCAGGCAAAGAAATAGGCTGCTTGATAAATATCTAGTGATGTATATTAGTGACTAATATTATCCTGTGTCCTCTAGAGACAGAAAGTGAGAGGTGAGTAAGGTAAGAGGAGGCTTGTTTAGACTTGGTCTGCCTAGAGCACAGACCCAGAGATTTGTTAGAATGATGAATAATCCATCACAGGCACGGGTCAGGGCCTGCTTACTGCCAATCTCATTAAGGAAGTATGATGGTGAACCTCTTCTAGTTGAATATCTTAGCGTATACTACTTGTTTAAGCATAATATGACACAAGGAAACGCATGACATTAAAAAAAAAAGTGAATTCCCAACGCTTGACTTGAGTGGTGTGATTTGTTGGTCAAGTCAAGACCTGCCGTTACCTGTTCATCTGATATTGGAAACCATCTGGGTTGGGTAAAACCAACCGTCACACAGGACCTAAGAGTTCAGATCCTCTTCCTTTTAGACCATGTGCTTTGCAGAACTTTTTGCTTACAGAATTAACTGTATAGGATCTCAAGTCAACTTATATAAATTTATAGAAACAAACCTTATATAAATTTTTCCACAAAAGTAAAAACATTTGACTACTGAAATTATGGTTATTTTTAAAGCCAGAAGAGAACTTTAAGGTGAAACCCATCCCCAAACCCTCATTTCACACATGAGAAATCTGAAGCATAAATGACCTAATTGACCCACCACAGATCATACAATCAATTGGCATTAGGAGGTGAATTAAAGTGCAGAACTCATGATGCCCACCTGTACCCTTTACATCATATCTTTGTACCCTATGTCAGGGAGCAGCACCTACTGGCAAAGTGTCATAGCAGCCTCCCTTCTCTGGAACTGAAAATGCCCAGGCTGATGGAGTTCAATGGTGTTCTTCTAGAAATGTGGAGTACAGTTCAGAGAATATACAGCCAGAAGGGTTCAGATCAAACCTGTAAGACTATTTTTTTGATATGTGCCCCTAGTGGGAATTGAACCCAGGACTTTCTGGTCCGCAGGCCAACCAACAGCTGAGCCAAACCAGCCAGGGCAAACCTGTAAGACTTAAATGCCAACTTTCTGGGTAAGGAAAGGGGAAGAGTGTGCTAAACAGAGAGGAAAAAATGTAGAGTCTAGAAAATGAGACAATATTCCAAAGAGCTGTGGAACACAGAAGACAGAAAACCATGGGGAGAACCAAGGTCTACGATAGGGTCATTTCCCAGACACCTCCCTTCACCCCCAACCCTACCCCAGGGGCCACAGCTTAGGTTAGAGGACCTCTGTTACACACCCCCTTGTGTTATTGTACCATAGGCTGCTGTAAGAGATTATCACAAAACCACTGTCTTAAAACAAGAGCAATATATTCTCTCACAGATCTGGAGGCCAGAAATCCCAAATCAAAGTCTTGGCACGGCCCTTTTAGGGTCTACACAGATAACCTAGGGTTATCTCCTCATCTCTAGGTCTTTAACGTGATCACATCTGCAAAGACTCCCTGCCCCCAATAGAAAGAATTTATTCACAGGCTCCAGGACTTGACTGGTTATCTTTCGGAAGGGGGCCTTCGTGGCCCACACATCCCTTCACTTCTTTTTTTAAAATATGTTTTTATTGATTTTAGAGAGAGAGAAAGAAAGAGAGAGAGAGAGAAAGAAAAACATTGATGTAAGAGAGAAACATTGATCAGCTGACTCCTGCAATACTCCCTACTGGGGATTGAGCCTGCAACGTAGGCATGTGCCCTGACCAGGAATCAAACCAGTGACCTTTTCGTGCATAGGACAATGCTCAACCAACTGGGCCACACCAGCCAGGGCACACCTCTTCACTTCTAACTTTACTGATTCATTATGTGGGTAACTATTTTGATAATACCCACCCTTACCGTGCGGGTCCAGGAGGACATACGCCTTGTCTGCTTTACTCATGGCTGCTTCCAAAGTACCTAGGAGGGGACCTGGGAGATAGAAGAGATCTAATGAGTGTTCAGGGAATTAAAAAAGGGAGGAAAAGAAGAGAAAAAGGGAGGAAGGAGGCAGTGAAGAGGGGAGAATGGAAGAAAGGAAAGAAAGAAGGAAAATCAGAAAAGAAAGGGGTGAGCAAGGAAGGGAGGGAGGAAAGAAGGAAGGTGGGGGCAGGGAAGGAGAATATGAGAGTGAGAGCAAAGAGAGAGAAAGGAGAGAAAAGGACATATCTCTAAATCTCACTACTAATTCTTATAAAATGGATTCACGTGAGGAAAACAAGGACTAGTTTTAGAAGGTGAAGGTTACAGTTAGATGAAGCTTTTATTTCAATTGAGGTATTTGAAATCTATTGCTGTCCAGTATAATGCAGCCTTGTAGATGATGGGGTTTAGCTTACGGTGGGACAGACGGGGTACAGAAAAGTCCATGGTATACTTGCCTTTAGGGAGTTCAGTCTATTGGCGGAGCTATCAAGGTACAAACTTCACGCAAATCGTAGTGTGACAAGTGTCAAATAAATAGGGCCCAGATTATGAAGGATTTTTAATGTCTTTGGATTTTATTCTATAAAGCAACATTTAGATGAGATTTCCAGGCATAAGCAGTAATATTTAAAATTTGCCATTTGGGTAGTAAATAACGATTTTATAGCTATTGTGTAATTTCAAGTATAAATATCTATTATGACTCATATTCAGCTACATTAGCCCATGGGAGTAACCTAAGGGGTAAATTATATATTTGGCATAAATTTAACCATTGGAAAATACCCACTTGAAAGTGCACAATTATGTCATTCCCACAGTGCATTTCATAAGCAAATCTGAGTTTTCAAATCAAAATGTTCTTAAATGTTGACCAGCATCTGTGAATTACATAAGATCAAGACATCATTCAGTGTTGTTGAAATCTATCTTGAGCATAGGTGCTGTCATTGATTCTATAGTTATTTATTGAGATCCTACTGTGTGTTGTTCTGGGGATCTAAAGACACAATTTGAAAAAGAATGCGGCCCTCACCTTTGAAGAGCTCACAGTCCGTGTTAATTGGTTTAACCAGAAAACAGGCACAGTGACAACTTTCAGGACAACATGGAAGGGAGAGAGTGAGAAAGCAGAATAAGGCAGGGAAACCCTTCACACCAAAAACAGATACAACATCTGCAAAAGAAAAGAGGGAGGAAGTATGGTGAGGAAGAGATAACCTCAGATCACAATGCAGATCTGATGAAGTCTCAGCCAACCCCAAGATCTCCCACTAAAAGTCCCGAGTTAGCCCTGGTACCACTGTTATGCTCAGTCATTGGCTGGGACTGCCCCAAAAGACTGTGGCCTCAGCTTGAAAGCTGAGGCAGATTTGAAAGCATTAACAGCTAGAGGCTGTCAGCTAATTGCACTCCTTGCAGTTAAATAGCAAGTTCTTTCTTGAAGGGAGATCAAAGTGATGCAACCCCATGGCTGCCCCATAGTGTGATCGGGAAGAAGGCAAATAAACAGGCAATTTAAACCCGGTAAGGTAATGACAGGGTGCCATGGGAGCTTAAAGATGGAGTATCTAACTCCATCTTGGGGACAGAAAATACTTCCAAGTATTTACGATACCAGAAGCCAAAGTTTTAAGTAGAAGTTAGTCAAACAAAGTGGGTAGAGATAGGAAGAGAGTGTTCGAGGCAGGGAAATGAGATGCACAAAGCCTTGTGGGAGAGAAAGCATGGCACATCCACAATATGTTAGTACCACATGGGGGTGCAGCAAGGCCTGAAGCTGGAGAGGTGAACAGGGGTCAATAGTGAAGGATCGTGTACACCGTGCTAAGGAATTCAGGCAGCACAACCACATGCAAAGTGGTCTGCAATCTGAACACGTAATGACCAATGCTTTTTCTCCCCATCAGCAGAGAATCGTGAAGACCCCACGTTCCAATTCTCTGTGTTTATATAGACCTTAGTGATGCTTATGAAAGGAAAATATATTACCTATGAGGAACAATGTAATTTATCATCACCTAGTTTCGCTTTTGCCCATTACTGTTATTCAAGTCCACCTAATTCACCGCCCACTAGGAGAGAACTTGCAGCTGATGGATTTGGGTTGGCGACACTGCAAAGACTAGAGCCATGAACTCTCAGAGGCGGCAGACCGAGGCATCCGAGCAAAAACCCAGGCCACCTGGGTTCCCAGTATCAGAAAACGGGTGAAGAAGAGCCAAGAATGTGTTTTGCCTACTTCCAATTCAGAGAGCAGTGTTTTTAAAAAACCAGTCCTGAGATTTTACTTCTGTGATTCTATTCTGAGGGAAAATCATAAATTTAAGTTTTATGATTGCTGTTGAGAATCAAGATAGCTAGTTGGTGTCTGCCACTGTCAAACGCTATATACTTCACACGAGATTGTATACAAGCTCAGAACAACTGAGCATTAGGTACAACCGTATTGTACCTAAGAAGTAGGAAGAATTAACTTTGCCCATTTTTCTATCAGAAAGTTAAAGCTGAGAGAGGTTAAATGGCATGTCTGAGATCACACAGTTAATATGCACAAAGAGGTTTAACAAAACATTATTTTAAAAGATCACAAACAATCTAAAGGGAAACTATAAGGTACATTTGAGTATGTGTATATAAAAGAATATTAAGTAGTTATTAGGAAGATGTTTTCTAATTATCTTGAATGACATTAACAAATATTTATGGTATGTTTTTATTATTTATTCATTTATTTTATTTATTTTTTATTTTTTTGTATTTATCTTCAGATAGAGTGGGAGGGAGAGAGGGAGGAAGAGAGAGAAACATCGATGTGAGAGAGACATATCGAGTGGCTGCCACCCACACGACTCCAACGGGGGTCAGGGACAAACTGCAACCAAGGTACGTGCCCTTCGCGGGAACCGAACCCAGGACTCTTTAGTCTGCAGGCCGACGCTCTAACCGCTGAGCCAAACCAGCCAGGGCATATTCATTTATTTTTTTATGGTATGGTTTTAAGTGAAAAAAAAGTGGAATGGAAAATTGTACATACTATACTATTTTGTTTTTAAAGAGCAGCTTCACTGAGGCATAACTTACATAACTATAAAAATAATCAATTTTAACTGTACAATTCAATAATTTTGGGAAAATCTCAAGAGTTATGCAAGCATTACTACAATTCAGTTTTAGAGTATTTCCATCATCTCCCCCCACTCCAACCTCTCACGCCTGTTTAGTTAATCCCCATTCCTATTCCCATCCATAGTCAACTTTGGACATTTCATATAGATGGAATCATATGATATGTAACCATCCACATTGACTTTTTTTTAAACTTTTTTTTCTTTATTGATTTTTAGAGAGATAGGAAGGGAGAGGGAGAGAGGGAAACATCAATGATAGAGGACACTGATTGGTCACCTCCTGCATGCCCCCCACTGGGGCATGTAACCAGGACATGTGCCATGACTGGCAATCAAACCTGCAACTTCTTAGTGCATGGGTTGATGCTCAACCAATGAGCCAAATTGGCCCGGCACTTCTTTCAATTAGCACAATGTCTCTGAGATTTATTCATGTTGTAGGGTTAATCACTGTTGTTACTTTTATGTACCAAATAGTATCCCATTGTATGCTTATAACATGTTTTCTTTATCCACTCACCTGTTGATGGGCATTTTTTGGATATTTCTACTTTTGGCAATTATAAATAATGCTGCTATGAACACTTATGTGCAAGTCTGTGTGGATATGTTTTCTTTCTTTGAGTATAAATCTCAGTGTGGAATTGCTAGGTAACATGGTATTTTTATGTTTAATTTTTTTAAATACATTTTTTAATTGATTTTTTAGAGAGAAGGGGGAGAGCGAGAGAAAGAAACATTGATCAGCTGCCTTGCACACACACCCTGACCTGGGACCAAACTTGCAACCTGGGCATGTGCTCTGACTGGGAATCGAATCAGTGACCTTTTGTACATGAGACAATGCTTAACCAACTGAGCCACACTGGCCAGGGCTATGTTTAACTTTTTAAAAAAGCACAGGCTAGTTTTCAAAATGGGTGCCCCATTTTACCCTCATACCTGAAATTCATGGGGGTTCCAATTTCTCCACATTCTCACTGACGCTTTTGTGTCTATTTTTTATTATAGCCATTCTAGGGGCTTGTCCTGGGAGCACAACTTAATGAATTATTCACACTAATTACTTACCTATGAGTCTTCTTGTGGGGAGTCTGTCCTAAAATACAAAATTAGTACAATACGTGGGGCATTGTTAGTAATCAATAAATGTTAGCTATTATTATTAGCATTGATGTTAATTTTCCTCACCTCATTTTGGGGAGAGGGGAGGCTTTTACAAAAGCGATAAATTTTATGTTATTTTTCATTTTTTCTTTGGACAGGCTACACCTTGTGTTAGTATTTAATTATGTTAGTATAATATTTATACTTAGTAATTAAGTATAATCTTATCTTTGACTAGTCTTATAACAATGATGTGTGTTCATTATAATTATCTAATGTGGCTCTCTTTTCTTTAACTTTTGAAATTGCAAACCTAGATTATACAGGTGATAGTCTCAGCAGAAGGAATAAAAACAAAATAAAGAACAATCATCCACAACCTAAAGGGATCCTGACAAGGACCAAATACAGATGAAAACTTTGAGGCATCAAAAAATCAACATCTAAGGTACAAGATGGGGATGTCAGGGGAGGATGGACATCCAAGAAGAGCACAGACCCTCTATAAGTCTGCATGGAAGCTAACTCAACCCTGAGGTGTCTGACCTGGTACCTTCTCAAAGAACCCCAAATAAAGGGATTGCACTTAACACTAGTTCAGATGTGAAGACCATATCCAATTTGAGTCTTTACAACTTAGAAGAGATATAATGAAGCAGGAAGGGGTTCAGAAAAGAGCAGAGAAATAATCAATCAGCAAGTCGAACCTCCGAGGAAAGGTAAATGAGTTTGGGTTATTTACCCAGAGAAAGAAAGGGCAAAGTTCTACTTAATACTTGTGTTCAGGTATTTAAAGTTGATTTCTGACCAGATAGTCTACATCCCAAGAACACAAAACTAACTTCTCCTGCACCCCAAATAAAGACTTTAAGAGTTAGAATGGAATAAGAAATTGAGATTCAAAGTAGCAAGAATTCCTTGACTCAGGAGTAATAAAGGTTTGCCAAAGTCTACCACTGGTCATGGAATTTCTGTTACTAATGGTCTGTAAAACACAAGCACTGTGCCATTCATGATCAGAAGTGAATGTTTTAAAAAGGTGGCTGAAATTCCATGCAGGGTCACATCATTCATGTGAATAGATTGTCTAATCTCAGTGGGCACTGTTGCAGCTGCTGTTCAGATCGGGATTCAATAGCTGGGGGCTATGCCAGACTGTCTCAACCCTAAGCTGGCTGAAGAGAAGCTGAGATGATCACCACCCATAACCATACTTTCCACTTACAGGCTGCATCAGTCAGTTTTCACTGCGTAACAAAACACATCAAAACTCAACGGCATAAAGTCATTATGTATTTCCTTGTGTAGGCTTGAGTGGCTTGGCTTCCAGCGACAGCCACTGGATTGGCTCTGCTCCATGAATGTTCATTGTGGAGCCTGGAAAGAGCAACCCAGGGGAAAGCTCTCCTAATGGTGAAAACTATTTTTATAACTGGACACTTGTACTTCTTAATCTCTTTCACCTTTTCACCCAGTCCCCCAACCTCTCCCATGTGGTGACCATCAATTTGTTCTTTATATCTACGAGTTTGTTTTGTTTGTTCATTTATTTTGTTTTTTAGATTCCACATGTAAGTGAAGTCACATGGTATTTGTCTCCACATCTGAAATGACATACTCGCTCTCTCTGCTACCTTCCTCAT